CCAATATAAAAACAAAAACACCTTACGATACAACCCCTTTGCATATAACCAGGATTGATGGCGTGTATAACTCAATAATTCAAATAATCATACAGCTTCTCATTAATCCCATATAGGTAACTGTCCAATTATTTTCTTAATTGGAAAGGTCTTGTTGATATGGGATTAATTAGGCAGCTATATAATTAATAGTTAATAGGAATTCATGCTCCCCAATCAAGAAATAATTAGACTCGAAAAATTCCTCTGACTGCCAAATTGGACTTGGCCTACAGCCTCATCCAATTTTGTCAATCCTTGGAATTTTTCTCGTCCAATTATTTCTTAATTGGAGAGCATGGAGTCCTATTACATATACTACTTGTTTGTCATGATTACCCTTCACAGATCTTTCTGACTCTAGACTTGAGTTGCTCTCCTTGAAAGAAGATAATAAACACACTCTTGTTGACTTGATCACCAGTGCTTGGGTCCTCAAGGTAGTCCTCTATCTCCGTCTGCTTGAAAAATACATTCCCTCGGCACGCACGCCATAACAGACGTTCAAAGGAAGGAATTCTTTCCCTAGCTATCACACCAGTGACAAACCTAAAAAAATATACAGGTATCAGTCAAGAGAATTATTTGACCTTCAACGAATCAAAGAAGCATGTAAATGTCTTATAGAAAATTGAAGTTTTGTGRAACCTATCCTTCAGTTATGAATTAACTGTATTCCAATCCCAATCCTTTAGCCATGAATTCTCTTGAATATGGATCGCATTTATTGTTTTTCACATTATTTGTCGTTTTCCGCATTAATGGTCATTTCAAATTGGGATACCCTAATACCCTAGTGGTTATTCATAGTGATATACTGTAAGTCCCAATTTTGTACTCACCCCAGTTGAGTAGCAGGGGCAGCACGGGCTTCTTCACCAAGAAGGAATGCTGTATCATCAGCTTTGTTGGGGTCATGAATCTGTTGTTGATGTACATGGTGTTCAGCCTAACAAAACAGTGTTTACGAATGCATGTATGTCATCTTACTTATGTTACTTTTTCACATGTTTAAGATTTTAGCAGAATTACTGTATGAAATGCTTATACAAGATATTATTAAAGCATTGACATCAATTGATGTTTCATAGAGCTTTAGACTACTTACGATATTATTTTGGTTGTTCATTTGAGACGTTTAGTCACGTTCATGTTAAATTCTACATACAGCAAGTTCATTGACAACTACTGTACCATAATATACCTTGTTTCATGAAACTTTTTGCAACACTTTAATCTTTAAATGTATATTCATATACAGTACTTCTACAGTATAGTAAAGCTGTGTATAGAAAGGTTGTAGTTATTACTCTTACGCATTGCACTGTAACAAAATAATATTTACATAATCATACAATTTCAAGAAGTATCACCCACGACAAGTATTCAATTTGTTAAACACTCATTTAACAGTAAAACCTGGATTTATAATACAAGATTATTTCAATTAAGAATTTATTTTGTAATCACTATACATTCAAGAGTTCTTTAAATGAACTTCCTCTCTGTATATAATTCTATTACATCATGTTACATTCAAATAAAGCATCAAGTGATAAGGAAAGCAAATCTGAACAGTGCTTTAAGCTAATATTATTTTAATCAAGTAACCATTTTGGATATTTGAGACCCAGGAATATGGCTGAATTTCTGTGAAACTAGCCAGAGCCATTCTTTTCTCAGATTTCTAAATGGCTCTTGGATAAAAAGGTCCTTGGCCACTCAGGAATCATGGAATGAACTTGGCAAAAAAACAAGTGCATTTAAAAAAAATCAAATGATTATTTTTTAAGAATTTTTATGATTTTTTTTTGTTTTTTAAAAAGCGCATGAATGTTAGTTTTTAACACCGTTGAAAATTTTATGAACTCATCCCAAACAAAATTACCAGTAGAAATAAGTGTGTGGTATTAAAATAAAATTAAAATATATAAATTCCATTCGATACTAACAGTATCTTGATTCAACATCCTGTACACCATCAGTGTATTGTATGTACAAGCAATGCACAACAAAAATATAAAGTATTACCTCCTCAAAGAAAGTCTGGGTTTTCTTCAGAATATGTTTGAGTTCAGTAAGTTCAAGAAAGCTTCTCATCAGAGCTTCATAGTTGGCATTACTGTCCTTCATTTCATTTTCAAGCTGCTCAAGTTGAGCCTATAAACACACACAAAGAACAATTTCTACTGATGTTAAATGAAGTCTATTAGCATATAATTTTATGGTCTTCCCTTGTAATTCTTGAGGTGCATGTGACGTCATTTTGGTTGTATATCGTAAAATTAACAAATTGACATCAATTTTTTGACGTCATTTTGGTGTCATTTGTCATGTCAACCAACATGGAAGCCACAATATTTTTTTTTTTATTCTCATGAGAAGTGATGCATGCCACCAATGCTATAGGTGAACTGAATGTTTATAAACAGTAGCAACATGATATGGATATTAGAAAAGAATATCCCTCTATTTCTGGGGGGAAATGTTGAATCAAGTGAAAGATGCTCAAATAAACTCAATAGAAATGTGATGCTGAGTCTAGGAATCAAATGCAAGACACTACTTTAGAGTTGAAAGGCAAGTGTACTACCCTTACACCTCCCCTGATTCCCCCATAATGTTCTTTCTGTTCACACAAGACATGGCTCAAAAGTAGTGTCTTCTTGGTTTCCTTAACTATAATGGGAAACATTGATTTAAGATGTACATCTCCAGCTAAGCAGTGAACAAAGCATGGGTGGACAAAATGATCTGCCCTAAGCATTTATGGATCTTGAAAGAACAAAGCAAACATGGCAGTAAAGTAATTAATAATTCATTCTTCCTTTCCATACGCCTGCTTCTTGTAGGCTCATATGTCAAATTTTTTAAGTCAAAAGAAAACAGAAAAACATGCAAAATTTAGGTTACAGTAGCCTGAGAATGAGGGCCAGCACCAAAACAGCTAATTGGCTGTGATTCGTTGAAACAAAATTCACCGCCCAGCTGGCTGGCCATAGTTTCAAGTTTTTAGAAGCAAAATCACATGTAAATATGGATAACAATCTTTTATCTTGTAGTGTATTCACCTCAAGATCAATCATTTCCCTGGGGTGTGGTGCTTCTGGGTTCTCTCCACTGTCCACCATCACAATATCTGCCTTCTCTATCTCCTTCTGCAGAAATCCTAAAATAATATTGAACATGCAGTGAATGACACTAGAGAAAAACATTTGCGCATGCGTGCATTTCAGCACGTTTTCTAAGAATTTTGAGGAGATCGAGTGAGAAAATAAATGTTTGTTTTCTCAAAGTATACAAAACAAAAAATTTCGCAAGTATACTTTTGTCAGACCACGATACTGTATTAAATAACACAATATGAAAGAATTAGTCTTAAGTTTCAAGCATGGACACTAAGGTTTGGCATTTTGTGAAGTCCAATTAATCATGCATGTTTGAAAGTCAAATTTACATATGATTTGACTAATTTGCATAAGGATTCAGAGCATGTGCAGATGTTTTTCACTCGTGTCACAGTGAATATTACAACTCTGTAATAGTAAAAACTGTTAATCAAGTAGATTATTAGACAATGCACAATTTATTCGGTACATAGTATGTAGATGGGAATGATATATTTGATTGACGATTTGCTAATGCCCATTTAACTGTCATGAAGCTTCATCTTGTTCAGGATGTAGCAATGAAAACAGTGTTAAAAGGAGATATTCTAGTGAAATTATTGGTAAAATATCTACACCAGTTTATGATCTTTCCTTCACTGGATAATACGTTTTTAGTACTCTTAACCTTGGTAAGGGACTTCATATATCAGAATATATATATATGTATATGAGAATATATATATATATATATATAAGAAATCTGTGAATCAATTTTCCGTAAAACAGTGCTCAATACATCGATAGAAGTAGAGCAGAATATTTATATATATATATATATATATATGCATGAGCTTAAGAGACTATGATAATAAAACAAATGAAACAGTAATAAAAATGAAGAAAAAAAAACGAAAGCAAAGCAGCAAATAAAGAGAAATACATACGGAGTTTTCTTTCCAATTCCTCGCATCTTCGAACTTCGTTTACAAATTTCCTCTGGAAAGCGTTCACATCTGGATTCAACTGTTAAAAAATATACATAAAAAGCATTAAAATTGGGAATTTAAACTTGGAAAATATTAAATTACAAAATTTCAAGAAATAAAATAGATTAAAATAATCCTATAAATATTCTTGTCATCGTTCCTAGACTTGTTGGGTGAAAAGGCTCTTATTATTAATTGCCAAAAAAAAACACGCAATTTTCAACAAAATCTACAATTTTCTGATACTTACGTCTCTAAATTGTACGAGGCCCTAAAGTGAAAAAGAAAAGTATAATTAGTAGCTAATATTTGATCAGAATACATCGCAACCACAGAAAATACGATCCAAGATGGAGGAAGAAAGGTCATCCTTCAATCTTATAAAACACACTTACAAGTTCACCCAGCTCGCTAACACAAGCATATGTAGCCTCAGACTGAAGGAAAAGCTGGGCCAATGTCATCTCCTCGGACCTGAATAAGGAACTCATCTTGGAAAAGGATTATTGGAGGCGAAATTCGTCGAAATTCCAAAGCCACCTTCTCCTTCTTCTTGTTCTCTTGTCTTCCTTGGGAGGATCACATGATATCATCAACAGATAGAAAACTGGCACTAGCACGCCACAGGAAGCCCAATATCTAAATAATGGGGGAAAACATTTGAAATCTTGTACTTTTCGCGATCTAAGTATAGCCGCTTGTCACCCCTCTCACACTTAATAATCGTGGTGACAAAAAGACACCTATTACGTCGTTCTTTAAAATATATCATTTTCTATGAAATGTATCTTCTATTTTTCGCCCTGATTTAATGATTATGTACACCAATCATCGGTCTTTCAACTTGACAAAATTGTTTGTTCAACATTATTTATCTTTTTCCAGGCGCGCGCTGCTGTTAGGTATACAGTCAATTCAAAAAATGTTGTCGTCGACCAACTCAAGCCTACGCGACTGGACCGAAAGGAACTCTGGGTAGTAATCATTGAAGCCGAGTTGACTCCATAATTTTATCTGACTAGTTATGCCTGGTTTACAGCACGAACCTTCGTAGGCGAGCCGAAAGGAGACGTTTTTTTAATGCCTTCGTATTTTCGGGATTGTGAACTGAATCATAACTACTTTGTTTTTCTTTCCCTAAACCCAAAGACATGCATTTGATGGATGTTTCTCGCCATTATTATCTTATTACTAGCGGGAACAATTTATTCAGAACGAATATTTAATCGCGTCAGTGATTTTTACCCATATTCCTTTCGGTCCAGTCGCGTAGGCTTGAGCCGGTCGACTCGAGTTGTTTAAGGCTGCGTTCATAATGTATGGCAAAGGGGGGTCAGGTGAAATTAAGGGGGGATCGGGAGAATTTTAGTAGGAAAAGGGGGAGGATGGGCAAATTTTTATCAGAAAAATGGGGGGATGTACAATTTTTGGAAGAAGCTACAAGCCTTGCTTAGGGTGGATTGTATTTTTTTTTGCATGATTTTAAGGGGGTGTTAAGAATTATTCTGGACATTTCAAATTTTCACCTGCCCCACCCCCCTCTGCCATACATTTTGAACGCCTAATTTTGCATCGTTACCCATTGCAAAGAGGTTTATTTGGGCGTCTTTTCGCGCAGAACTAGAATCATTCTGCAGTTTTTGGGTGACCTCGTAATTCGTACACATGTCAGCCATTAAGAGAACGGTGTATAGTGACTATGATAAACTCTAAATGGAAAAGAACGGCTCTAACGTCAGTGTTCCTTCAACTCTAGTAGCCGGTCTTCGGTGCACACTTTACTCCCTTTCTCCATCAGTGCTCTGTTTTAAGAGTATTCAAAGCTGAAGCTACAGGGATTTAGAGAGAAGGCGAAACAGACGTGAAAGATCGAACCGAGTCCCTCTAGTTCTGAAGGCCGGGCCGCGCATTAACCAACTGAACTACGCGCGTGATGAATTCCTTGACCGGCAGTCATCAAATTCAAAGCCTAGTATACTATGCCCAGGTTTAACTACTAGGCAAACCTGATAAATAAAATGTCTTCTTTTTAAGAAAAAATCAAAAAATTGAAGAAAAAAGTTGATTCCACACTGCCATACCACCGAGACATCCGCAGAGCTGAGGCGTCGTATGGACTTCGGACCTGACGGCGATTAAATCCTTCTGCCCTTGGGTGTACGAATTACGCAAGAAAATGTTCTAGCCGAAGCATCAGGGGAGAGACCAGCCGGCCCCCAGACCATATCGGCTAATCCCTTCCATCTCTGCCAAACACGGAATCGGATGAAATTGTAATGTTAAAAAGTCTAGTCTATCTGGTTTATTGTTTTCACGGCTATTGTTATGTTGATTAATCTGGAACCGTGGCCCGGTAGAAAAACCTTCGACTTCAATGACACTGAGAAAATTCCAGTTGAGCGACGTTAGTACCTGGGTGGGTGAGCTGAAAGTTATCCCTACCAAAATAAAAACTTTTTCTCGCAATTTTGAATTAATAACATAAAAATACCTGAAGTAGTAGTATTTCTGACCTGGTTAAGGAATATTCTTTCCCAGTATCTCTTAACCTGACTTAGGAGTATCTCATACCTGACTTAATTCAATTCGATTTCAATTCAATTTCAGTTTATTTACACTGTTTTTTTTCAATTTTATATAATAGAATTACAAGAATATATATAGTTGAATAATATTTAGAATTTTTAATATAATTAACAATATAATAGGTGTAAGT